TTGACAGGCAGAGTGGACAGTGAGAGAGACAGAGAGAAAGGTCTTCCTTTGCCGTTGGTTCACCCTCCAATGGCTGCCGCGGCCGGCGCACCGCGCTGATCTGATGGCAGGAGCCAGGTGCTTCTCCTGATCTCCCATGCGGGTGCAGGGCCCAAGCACTTGGGCCATCCTCCACTGCACTCCTGGGCCATAGCAGAGAGCTGGCCTGGAAGAGGGGCAACCAGGACAGAATTTGGAGCCCCGACCGGGTCTAGAACCCGGTGTGCCGGCGCCGCAAGGCGGAGGATTAGCCTAGTGAGCCACGACGCCGGCCTAAATATGTAACTTCTATGTAGTTCATGGATTACACAGCTGATACATTCTCTAATGTTTACTGCTTTTCAGCTTTCTCCCACTTTATCTTGTCCATGTATACAGAGTCCTTATAAATTACTCAAGTCACAATATATGAGTCAGGGATAAGTTTTGTCCCAACACAAAAGAAGCACCAAATCAAATAGTGGTTGAGATACTAATAGCTTTTTGTGAACTTAGAATAGATTCAGTGGTATAATTTTTAAAAATGCCAAATAGAATACCACATCTCACTTTTTTTTTTTTTTTTGAAATCTAGTAAAGAAGTCCTACGGATCAAGTAGTCACTCTTTAAAGTGCATTCAGTGGTACTGTTTTGGGCTGAAAACATGAAAGCTGCCATGTCAGTCATTTTGTCAGATGTTCAATCTGATGAACTAAGTCTAGGAGGCTATATTAATTTTAACTTTTTCCTTAAATCTGTGGCTATCAGTTGACTCCACATATATACTATACTTGTGTATGTAAATACACATGTGAAGATTTTTAAAAAGTTTTTCTAAACTAACAAAGGCAATATGGTCACAAACTTTTAATAGTAATTATATAAAAGAGAATAATATCTAACATTACTTAAGAACTGGTTTCAAAGATACTAGACATTCCAATTTTATGTGTACTGATTTTTCCTAATCCTCCATAGCATTTTCAGTTTAGACTAGTCAAGAGGAAAAAAATTTTAACAGTTCAGTTAAATAACTCCGTACCCACAGAAGAAAATGTTATACACATAAAGTTACTATTAGCAGGACTGGTAAAGTTTACCTTTTCCAGGTGAAACCAATATATTTTAATGCTGCCTCAGCTAAACAATCAAGGACATAGCATACATGCTCTCCATAACCTGACTTTAATTTTGAAGGAGGAAAATCTGCAGCTCTTCCCTGAAAAACAAGATAAACAGGGTTTTAACTGTTGGTTTTATTCTAAGTGTCAGAAGATTTTTAAGCACAGAATTGCTGAACAGATACATAATGTTCTGTTTTTCAAATTATTTAAAATAATAGTTTAAAATAACTTTAATTACAGTTCCTTAGAAACCCACCTCATCTTTTTAATCCAGTTTTGTGTTAAAAAACTAAAGACAAAAAACATTTTATTGGTTAAAGTACCAAATTAAGAAGCAATAACTTCATAGTGGCAGAAGAAATCATTGATATTGTTGGGGTAAAAAATTCAGTCAAAGTTCAGAAACAACTACATGCAGGACAAGTGATTCACCTTCAAAAATTAATAACTTGTGCCAGAAATGTCTTACTGCCTGTCCCTAGGGAAAGTCAGAAGAGAAAAGCACAACTGTTATGCTCTATTCAAAGTTCCCTTTCAAAATATAAAGTGTTTCAATTTTATCATTTTCAGATCAAAGTTTTAGAGGGAGAATGAAGGCTCATAATAAATTTACCTGTGAGACACAGTATCAGGATTAAGAAAAATACTATTACTTTGGACTATAATGAGTATACACTGGACACTTTCAGAAGGGGCAGTGATAAAGTTTTGTATGAAAATAAATTCATAGGTACATGTTCATAAAGTAGTCATCTAAAAGGCTAGCATTTATTCCTGAATTACTGATATTAAAATGTTTGATGAAGAACATGCAGAAAGAAGAGTAGTTTACACTTACCAATGACCGAAGTTCAGCTAATATGTTAGATATTGTTGCGTTAGGGTCATCATATTCTTGAGGCTGCTCAAAGGGATGTCCTGCTTTGTTAAGCAACCAAGCAGCAAGAGTGCAAAACATATAGAACTGTTCACCAGGGTTTGTAGGCAGTGCAAAATAATGTCTGTTTCAAAACAAGGAGGCATGGAAGAATGTGAAATAATGTAAATAAGTCTATAATAACTTGTGGAGCCAAGTTCAAAATTGCCCAAAAAAAGCTTCTCCTCCTTGTCCTGACCCCCAATAATGGTCTTCAACTCAAGACACTAATAATTCACTCTTTGACTTTTCCAGTAACTCGCAGCACTCATGTTAGTTTTTAATCAGCAGGATTAGGGCAACTGTAACTGTACACAAAATATGAGATCAAAGACCTCACACCCAGGAAATACAGTGCATGCTAGAAAACAAAACACGTGGAACTTTTGCCAAAACATATGTCAAGAATAATTAGTGCCTTCTGAAAATGGTAATTTGAAATAAAATACCTTCAGGGTTTAACAAAAATCTTTAAGAATTATTCACTCTACATTTTTAGGGTTTCTAAGCCATCAGCAATGTTAAACGGCTGTTTCCATCTTGTACGCGAATTCGGATCACCTGAGGAACTCTTAAAACTATTGCTACTCAGCTAAACATTACTCCTTTGCTCCTCAGTAGATGAAATCTGAACTTCTGGGAATGAAGACATAGGATGGGTACATTTCAAAAGCTTTTGGATGTTTCTAAGGTACAGCCAGGATTAAGAATGTCTCAGTGTCACAACCACAGTCTAACTTTTATTAAATCCCTTAGTCTACAAAAAACAGTCCTCTGAAGATGAGTGTAATTTACACCTAAAGATAGGACTAAAATGTGCTAGCAGCAACATGCAAGTCAATTTGATCCCAGAGTTTTTATTTGCTTTTTTATGTGTAGCTAACACTACCACGTTTATAGTGTATTTATAACTAACAAAACCACTGCAATAAGCACCAGTGTTCTCCCTCTTCATGTTCTCCAAATAAGCTAAAAGAAAAGGGAGAATTTAAAAAGGCCTTGAAATCCTTCCAGGTATGCGCTCAAAACCTCTCAAACCACCCACGCACCAACAACTTGTCTTTTTCTTATTGACTGATAATTCCTCAAAGACAGAGGAATGGAAACTGATAAATCCTGTAGGCTATTGGTCAGGGGTTCTCAAAAATTACCGTGCCCCAGAATCACCTGCAAGGCTGTTTAAAACACATGCTGCTAGAAGCCACACCTAGAGTTTCTGAAAAGGTAGACCTAGGAAAGGACCTGAGCAAATTCATTTTCAGTAAGTTCCTAGGCAATGCTGATGCTGCTGATCACACTTTGACAAACATGAGACTAGGGCATTTCCACAACAATCCTTGATTCCAAGTATCCTGCTGAATCTCCAAGGAAACAGCATAGAGATAATGTTAATAGAACTTCAAAGCCAGTTTCCTTCAGTTGACAAAGACATATGGAAAAAAAAATGCATTTTTATTACTACAGAATCTTAGCTGTCTGAATTATCCTGATCCATTCATTTACAACCCCAAGCCCATCCATCACAGATCGAGCAACACTTTTTCTCTAACTTTTCTCCTAGTATACAATAACTTAGCAAAATGGATAACATATAATAAAGCCTACATATCTTGCAATTCCAGTTACTAGAACACAGCAGAGGAATGAGATTAAAATTGTCAAGGGATATTATCTGGGGTAAACGGCTGACGTTAAGTGAAAGTACCAAAGCTTCTTCATCCTACTCGCCTCTTAGAGAATAAAGCAGAAAAATCTAAGCGGTAAGAGAAAAAGCTCTGAAATCTTTCTGGCTGTCACTAAGCTGCAGCGATTAGACGAGAAAGTGCTAGCTGTCCGTTACCCTCGCCACTGATGGTCCTGCCATCAGGTGACCACGGACTTTTCCCCACCAGAACAAGTGCAGAGGTGTTTGGGGTTCTGTGCTAAGAGGGCAATTCCGACAGCTGTTGATTCATTTGTCTGCCACGACTCAGTTTCTGAACAGCCTGCTGTTGCTATCCAAGCCATCGCAGTCGAGCCCACAAGTTTATGAACTGCATGCAAAGTGCTACTCAGCGAGGCGGCCAGTTGTAGGGAAGGGTTTCCCAAAGAAAACAAACTAGGAACAGCACTAGATGATGGCAGCGGTTCTCTCTGCAGATGAGATGGCGGGTGATTTAGTATTTTTCTACTTTTGACTTTTCAACAAAGAGTGTTTACCTCTCCTTTATAACCAGAAAAGGCAAAGTTTGTGTTTTGCGGAGATGCGAATTTTAAAGGACGCGCATGTTGTCTTCCAGCCCCTTCTGCTGCTCCAGAACTTGTTTACTCTCTACAAATATACCTCGTCTCAGCTCCGTGAGCTCCACGGCCCTCGGTCGCCCAATTTCGGGTGCACAGCCCTTTCCCGGCTGCGAAGATGGGAGCAAGGGCTCGCTAACCTTCGCTCGGCGCAGGACCCAACACAGGCCCCCAGGGCCCAGCCGGCACCAGAACACCCACCTGGACGGGGGCTTCAGGTTGTTCTTCCGGAGGAACTCCTCCTCGTAGCGGAGCAGCTTCAGCTTCTCCACCAAGTCCTCCATCACCAGGAACATGTGGTAGGCGGCGCCGGGGCCCCGCTCCACGACCACCTCCCCGGCTCCTTCGCCGCGAGACCGAGACCCCCCATCCTCTAAACCCGACGGCGTAACCACTGCCGCGGCAGCAGCCATCGCGGAAGAAACCGAAGGATCCCGCCTTGGGCTCTGCCTCGAAGACCTCCGCGGCCTGCGCCGCCTGCGCCGCCAGAGCCAGGACGGTCGCGATCCGTTACCAGGCGACCGCCGGGCAACCCATCACCAAGGAAACTAGACCCCGCCTCCTTTCCGCCGCCATGTCTTTTCTACATTCTCTCCAACCAGGGTAGACTTCCTGGGGAACGTCACTGTGACCCGCCCCCTTTCCCGCCTCTGCGGGCTAGGAGCTGGGAAGCCGCCCCGCCCCCTTGGGGGCGTGGCGGAAGAGGCTGCAGGCTGGCGGCCCGGCTCTGCCCGCGCTGCTTTGCCTGTCTGCTGTTAGCAGGCAAGCGGCTTCGTGGATCCGGTGGTTACTGGAGGAGCTGGTGGTAAATTAGAGAGGAGGAAGACGCTCAGTGTTGACTGCGGCGAGCACACTGACACTTCTTGAAATCTTCTCAAAATTGACAATTTTCGTAGTTGTAAAGATAGGTGATATTACAGGGTTCACTTTGCCTTGGGAACTTCTCAGCGCGAAGCTTTCCTTTTAAAAACCGTTCTCCTCAGGCAACGCTGTATTTACTGGTTTATTAGAAGGCCCCGCCATGACTCCAGGGCTAGGAAAGTGGTGGGGAAGAAAGCAGGATGACCACAAATGGGGCACTGAGGAGGATTCCTGCCTCCAAACAGGAATACTAAACTCACATCCTGCGGCTTAATTCGTCTCAGGCCCATTCCATGTGACACTTGTCGGGTACCTTGTTAAATCCAACAAAATAAAGATGGTCTTGGGAGGACTTTCCCTGCGCTGTAGCTCTGTGTGGCTAAAGATTGGGTGTTACTGCTACAGTCTGCAGCTGTTGACCTAGAAAAGGCAAGAAAGGGAACATAACTGCCCAGAGTTGCGGCCCAGCTTTGCAGTTCTCAGAAGGCTTGTGTGTCAAGCAAGTTTCCTAACAGCTACATAAGGAGTGAGGTAAGTGGAGGATGTCTGGCTGGTTTCCTGGCAGAAGAGAACCTAAGGCAAGAGTTTGAACATGTGCTTGTTTATAAGGGGTCTCTGATCTCTTATACCTGCCACTAAATAATATAGATGTAGAAGAATTTTTTTTGGAATAACAAACTTGAAGTATACCTGTAATATCTTTGTGGTTTGTCTAGAAAAATGAGAACGGTGCATTTTTCATTTGGACCGGTCTACAGCTAACTCGTTTCTGATACTAACAAAGGTATCAAAGTGAAAAGACAGAAAGCCAAAGACCGTTTTCTGTTCATCAAAGAAAACACATAAAATTACTGATTGATGTAGCAAATAACCTAAAGGGATAGCCCACGAATTACTTTTTAAATAAATGACATTGTTTGCCTGCTAGAAGTCATTAGCCAGCTGCTTTTAATAAAGATGAATGGGAAAATTGGGTTTGATTCTGCTCTCCGCTTAATTGTTCCTTTTCCTAGCCTTCAGAAAGCAGTGATTCTCCTTCATACACCACATGTGTGGGTTGGGATTATTGTGATACCTCTGCATAACTTTCAAAGTATGAAAGATGTGTTGCTTTTTAGAAAAGAAAAAAGAGGAAAGCTCAAATATATGTTTGGGGGTATTTGGTTAATGGACAAGCTACCTGTGGCTTTTAAATGAAGCTCAAAAAGCTCCCTACATTTACAGATGAATTGGTTACACCCAGGGAGATGTTCAAGCAGAAGGTGCTGCCTGCCTACCGCCTTCTGACATCTCCAGGAAGTGACATAACACAGAGTAAGAAGTGGTCAGGCTTCACTCTTTGGATGACAAGTAACCCTCCAACAACATATGTGTTATAACTTGGGGAGAAATAAAATGCCCCAGAACTTAACTCTTTCTTTCCCAGATGAAATACCGACACAGTTTGGCACAGAAGCAGTATAAAGAATGTCCCCTACCCTCTATGAAGAAGAAAATGTGACTAAAATATAAAGTGTTCCCAGTGACTTTGGCACAAAGAAAATGAAAGAAAAGCTGCCTGTTCAACATTGCATGTTTCCCAAAGGGAAACATGAGAAAGAGTGCTGAAATGTCAGTATTTTTTATAAGGCCCAGGGATTATTTTTAAAGATTTATTTATTTACTTGACAGGCAGAGCAACAGAGAGAGAGAGCTTCCATCTTCTGGTTCAGTCCTCCAAATGGCTGCAACAGCCAGATCTGATCTAGGCTGAAGCCAGGAGTCAGGCACTCCACCTGGGTCTCCCACATGGGTGTCAGGGTCACAAGTACTTGTGCCATCACTTTCCAAGTACATTAGCAGGAAGCTGGATCAGAAGCAGAGCAGCCAGGACTCCAATATGGAATGCTGGCATTGCAAGGGGTGGCTTAACTCGCTATGTCACTACTCAGGCCTCTCCAAGGATCATTCTTGCTGATTCCTTGTTTGCCTGTAATAGTTGGTAACATATCCATAGACAGGACTTTTTATTTTTTCATGGAAATAGTTTCTTTCATGTGTGGAAGAATGCACAATCAAATCCTATTTTGTGCCAGGCACTTGGAAGCTTTGGACTACATTTGGATGTTTTTAGTTTTTTTTGCAGGACTAACTCATGCATTCACTGTGGAGTTAAATCTGAAAGACATGTGTTCATACATCTTATGAAGAATCTTTAAAAGTTTATCCCTGGCTCTACTGTATTGAGTACTATTATCGTGACTTTTATTTCTTGAAAACTCTCAGTGAAATGATTGAGGTACTGTTTTGAGACCCTTAAGGTTTTTCTGCAGATAGATCAATCTCTGAGAACTAAGCAGAATGTCAGTCAAAGCTGATCTAAGCTAAATGGATATTCTTGAAAAGTGCTTAGCAAACTGGAGGTGAAAAGGAGGCAGGTTGAAGACGCAGGAGGGCTTTCCAGCTGCATCTCCCAGTATAAAAGCAAATCTTCCAAGAAGACTAGACATTTAGATATGGCTTGTTCCACCAAAGCTCTCGTTAAGGCTTGATATTGAAGGAAGCAGTGTTGGGGGAGCAGGGTCTAGTGGTTGGTGTTTGGGTCTGGGATGAAATTCATGAATGGAGTAATGCTTTTCTCATAGGAATGGACTGGCTATCGTGAGAGTTGGCCCATTTTTCTCTTTTACACACACCCACTTCTCTTTCTCTTTCTGCCATGAGGAAGCCGCTTTTCATCACAAGCTGAGCAGATGCCAGTGCCATGATCAAAATAAACCTCTTTTCGTTATAAATTACCCAGTCTGACATATTATAGCAACAGAAAATGGACTATGGCAGCTGGTCTGGGTTATAAGTGGCTTACTTCCACTGATTTGGGATGTTAAAATCTGGGGAAACCTTTAATTAAATTAAACTTCCTCAAAACTATAAGGGAGAAAAAGCTTTTCTTCTACCCTCCTGGATTCTGTGGCTGTGCCTGAGAATTAACACTGATATAAGGTGGTTTAACATACGAAAAGCTCAGAAATTTTATCTGGTATTTTTTCATGTACCCAGGAGCCTTCATAGAAAAAATGAGGATCCAAAGAAGTTGTTAGGGACAAGAGCTTATTTACATTTTTTTTCCCTAATGGAAATAAGCTTGTAGGAAAATGACAAGGCAAAGGGAAGGAGACTTAAGCTGGGGTGATAAATTGTGGAAAAGTGACTAGGAAATATATATGAGGGAAACTAAAGGAAGATAAGCTTTATTTTAATAATTTGTGTATATAGACCTGTTTCAGTATTAACTTCCAGGGTCCAGTGATAAGAACATTATTCTCTTTCTGCTACAGAAGAGAGTATCTCTCTCATTGGAAATTTTATGACCTGCTTTTTAGGTAGAAAAGAGGAAGTCAAAGAACTCTGCCTGTACATAGGGTCTCTTATGTATCTTTAGCATGAAATAATCGATTTTCTACAGTTGCATAGTTTGGGGTGGTTTGTTCTAAACCCCTTCAACCTAATGAAACATTCCTGCCAAAAATCTCGAAAAAAAAAAAAGTCACATTTACATGTGAAACATTAGAAATTATACCTTTAAGAGCAAAATGAAAACATTTACTCTTCAAAATTATACCAGAGATCAGAGCCAGTGCTCTGGGAGTAAGTATTGAAGAAGAATAAGCTATTTCAAAAGATTTGGTTAAATAAAAAGAGAAAATTTACAGACAAGCTATTAAGATAGCTTGACAAGTTTGCTTGTATGAGATCCAGTTAAAGAAAAGTTGCTGGAGACAGAAATACAAACCAAAAGTAACAGACTATATATACTCAAAGCACCCAGGAATAAATCTATTATTATCTTTATGAAGAAATTATTAAACTGCGTTGAAAGTTGTGAAAATAATTAAAATAGGGATACTATGTTCATGAATGAGAAAAATCATTATTTTTGCACAACCTGCAAATTCAGTATAATTTCAAGTAAAATCCAAGAGGGCTAATCCAGAAACTCTAAGAGTAAATTTTAGAATATAAGGAAGAAATCAGGATATCAGATAGAAAGGCTGCTAAAACAAATTTTAACTTAATGGCAGTTGTTTGGAATAGTGATTAAGACACCGCTTTTGGTACAGGTGTCCTACATTGGAGGACCTGGGTATAAGTCCTGGACTCTATTCTATGTTCCAGTTTCTTGCTGATGTGCACTCTGAGAGGCAGCAGGTAGGTGATGGTTCAAATTCCTATCACCCTTGTGGGAGGCCTGGATTGGATTCAAGTCTCCTGGTTTCTGCGTGGCCCGGCACTGGCACTGGCCACTGTGGGCATTTGAGGAGTGAACCAACAGATGACAGCTCTCTGTATGTCTCTCCATTCCTGTCTCACTGTCTCTCTCAGCTTATCAAAAAAAAAAATAAGTACAGCTTAATAATATTAGCAGAAACAGATTAGCGTTTTATGGAAACAGCATATGACAGAGTTGGTGTTACCAATTAGTAAAGAAGGATGAATTACTCACAAAATGCTGTCAAAGCTGTGGGCTATCCATATGGAAATAAAATTGCATCTCTGATTCTCGTCATATAAATTCCAGATGGATTGAAGACATACATGTTAAATATTTGTAATATGTTTAGAAGAAAACAAAAAATCTTTAACCTCAGTATAGGGGAGGATTTTTTTTTTCTTTTTTAAGATTTATTTATTTCTTTGAAAGTCAGAAGTCAGAGTTACACAGAGAGAGGAGAGGCAGAGAGGTTTTTCCATCTGCTGGTTCACTCCCCAGTTGGCGCCAACTGCCGAAGCTGCGATCTGAAGCCAGGAGCCAGGAGCTTCTTCCAGGTCTCCCATGCAGGTGCAGGGGCCCAAGGTCTTGGGCCATCTTCCACTGCCTTCCCAGGCCATAGCAGAGAGCTGGATTGGAAGTGGAGTGGCCAGGACTTGAAGCGGCACCCATATATGATGCCAGCACTGCAGGCAACGGCTTTTACACACTACACCACAGTGCCAGCCCAGGGAAGGATACCTTAAAGAAAGAAAATGCAAATATTAGAAGAGAAGCTCATCAAAATATGAGAAAGCAGGTACAAAATAATGAAGAAGGAATATATTTGTGACCCATATAATGTCAATGGATTCATCCTCGTGGTAAAAAAATAGATCATGGAAAGCCTCTGTGCCAGCCCAGGAGATTTTAGGAAAGTTCTCTTAGGTCAGGGTTTCTCTGCTTGGACATTATTGACATTTTAGAGACTTTTTTGTTGAGGGTGAGCTTTCTGCACACTGTAGACCATTTAACTACATTTCTCCTCAACCCACAAGATGCCAGTAGCCCCCACCTTGATTATGAGAATTAAAATGTTTCCAGACATTGCTAAGTAGTTCCTTGTGGGGGGCACAAAATCACCCCTGGTTAAGACTCACTACTAAAAATGTATGGATTTGTAGTTGTTAAACCATTTATAAGCACGAGATGTGTAAAGTAAATGGGTGATATGTATATTGGGGAACATAGGGAATTAGAAAACTCATGTACCTTCCAAGGGAGGGAAATTTTTTCATGCAAGATTGTAGAAAAATTTTTCCATGTCTTCTGATCTTGTGCGGGTCTGGACCTTGATTGTGAGCCTCCTGAAGGTGATCTTTCTGCACAGAGGACATTTCAGAGGACAGAGGACATTTGAACTGTAACACATTGAATGTGTTACAGTTCAAAATTGAGAAGCCATGTTCCTAAATTTTTAGTTTTGTATTCAAACCTTATTTATATAAATGCAAAAACTTTGTTACAGTCAAGCTTAAGGAGGATTTTATAAGTTAAATTCCTAAAGGGTCATAAAATCACTATACTTATCTTAATACTGTTGGGCACATACTGGATACATCTAAATCTAAAGTTAACAATTGATCATAATATAGGACTAAGAACCAAAGGGATCACATAAACAAGAATAGTGTCTGCAAATACTAGCTGATAGAATAAAAAAGGGAGAGAACGATCCAACATGGGAAGTGAGATACACAGCAGACCCATAGAATGGCAGATGTCCTAAACAGCACTCTGGCCTCAGAATCAGCCCTTAAGGCATGCGGATCCAGCTGAAAAGCCCATGAGAGTATTTCAGGCATGGAAAGCCAAGACACTCTGGGGAAAAAAAAAAAAAAAAAACACCTAAATGAAAGATCTCTGTGAGTGAGATCCCAGTGGAAAAAATGGGTCATCAAAGAAGGAGGTACCTTTCTCTGAAGGGAGGAGAGAACTTCCACTTTGCCCATGGCCTTGTCTAAATAGGATCAGAGTCGGTGAACTCAGGGGGCTTCCATAGCCTTGGCAGCTCATGACAAGAGCCTAGGGTGATTACTGAGGCCATAAACAAGAGTGTCAATTTGTTAAGTCAACAACAGGAGTCACTGTGCACTTACTCCTCATGTAGGATCTTTGTCCTTAGTGTGCTCTACATTGAGATTTAATGCTATAACTAGTACTCAAACAGTTTTTCACTTTATGTTTCTGTGTGGGAGCAAACTGTTGAAATCTTTACTCAATGTATTCTAAACTGATCTTCTGTATGTAACGAGAATTGAAAATGAATCTTGATGTGAATGGAAGGGGAGAGGGAGTGGGAAAGGGGAGGGTTGCGGGTGGGAGGGACGTTATGGGGGGGAAGCCATTGTAATCCATAAGCTGTACTTTGGAAATTTATATTCATTAAATAAAAGTTTAAAAAAATGAAAAATAAATCTAAAGTTAAAAAGAAGAGGAGGGGAATAAGTTCTATAAAGTATTCTAAAAACTGTTTGTAAACAAAGATTTCAATGTAAAGCCAAAGGAGTAAACTGTGCATTGTAAACTGTCACAAGTCAGCCTGTTTCTCTAATAGGCCCAAATTCCAGCCATTAGCACTTAAATATCAACTATATACACATTCTTCTTCTTCTTTTTAAATATTATTACCTCAGCTCTTTTTCTCACATGGAAGAAGAATTTCCAAGTGGACAAGCAGTGATTTTTTTTTAAGATTTTATTTATTTATTTTTGAAAGGCAGAGTTACAGAGAAGCTGAGGCAGAGAGAGATAGAGAGAGAGAGGTAGAGAGAGAGGTCTTTCATCCACTGGTTCACTCTCCAGATGGCCACTATGGCCAGAGCAGGGCTGATCTGAAGCCAGGAGCTTCTTCTGGGTCTCCCATGCACGTACAGGGGCCCAAGGACTTGGGCCATCTTCTACTGCTTTCCCAGGCCATAACAGAGAGCTGGATCAGAAATGGAGCAGCCAGGACTTGAACTGGCACCTATATGTACACATTGTTCTTTACCATATATATACTACTTCAGGTTTCACGTTTATCATTACTGTACTTAGTATCCCAGCTTTCAAAGATTAAAATATATTCAACCTGGGAAATAATTATGATCGAAACCTGAGACTAAATTTTCCTGTACAACATACCAAGATATTTCTGGGTCAGATGTAGAAGAAATTCTTGGTTAAAACACAAATGGGACACACCAAATCCTAACCTGCCATAACTAACTCTCTTACTTAGTAATGGAAGCATTTCCCTGGTTTCATTTTGTTCTCTAGTCATTCCCCACTAATAAACATCTTCTGACCCTACTAAGATTATAGTCAGCACATCAGCCAGTTTTGGCCCTGAAGGTAGATGAATGCCATCCAATTACACTGTATGTAGTTCAAGGATTTGCTTGGCTCCTTCATCATATATTCTTGGGTGAGAAGCAAAAGCATGTGTGTGAACTGACTTGAGTTTACTGCCCCTGTGGTCATGATGTGAATGATAAGGTTTCAAGCAGGTGTTTGTATTGGGAGGAGTGGGGTGGGGAGGTAATGGTCAAATTTGTGAGTGTTCTTGGCAGTAACATAGAGAAGGGGCAAAATGAATGTGAAAAATTGATTCAGAATTCAATTTGATTAGTTGGGTGAAACATGGTCCTAAATGGGATGGGTAACAGAATGGTTAAAAAAGAACATGATTGTAGGAAGTGGATTCAATGGAACTTAATTATTAGCACCATAAGATGTTCTCCCATGGATGAATGGCATCACAAAGTTGCCCTATTTTGGTACAATAAAGCTAGCCTTAAATACCCTTGTTTCAATTAAAGCTGTGAGCTGCCCTAGAAATTTATGGATGAGGTGAAGCCTATTCTGGGCTGTGAACACTGAGAAGCTGATAGCACAGCATCTGGGAATGTATTCAATGAAGCTGGATAAAGGGACCTGCAGGGTCAGAGTTGTGGGACAGCAGGTTACGCTGCCTTCAGAGTGCTGGTTGAGTCCTGGCTGCTCTGCTTTTAATCCAGATCCCTGCTAATGTGCCTGAGAAAGCGGAGGAAGATGGCCCGAGTTCTTGGGGCCCTACCATCCATGTGGGAGACACAGATTGAGTTTCAGGCACCTAGCTTTGGCCTAGACTGGCCCCAGCCATTGCAGCCATTCAGGGAGTAAACCCACGGTTGAAACACTCTCTCTGTGTCTCCCTCTGCCTCTACCACTGTGCCTTTCAGACAGATAGATAGACCTTAAAAAAGGAACTGCAGCCTTCACTATACTTATTGACATTAAAATGCAACTCTTCTGAAATTATTTGTTTGGAACATGTACTGCAGCAGAGAAGCTCAGATTAAAAAAAGAAGTAAGGCTGCTAAGTAAGGTATACATGTTTAGCTGTCAGATGGGAGAAATAGCATATAAGTAACTGCAGATTTTGAAAATGTTCAGCCTAGTTTCCTGACAAGAGTTCTATTTCACCATATGTGTTATAATACTTAAGGTTGATACATATTGGGTTCTAACAAGAAGGATTGATCTGACCTGTCAGAATTTTGAAGGTTAAATAAAAATTGGTTTATTTTTCAAAGGGTAGATTAAAAAGATTCAATTTACTTTACAGTTGAGTCAAGCATTTTTCCCCTAAGGAAATATTACATTGAAGTTGGAGAGCAGAGTTAACAATAAAAGTCACAGGAGAAAGCTCTCTTAATGGGGTTCCCTAGAGCTTAATAAAAGCCAAATTTGCTAGATGCCACCTCCTGTGGAATTATCACAACTTCCCAGTGCTATTCTGCTTTTCAATGCACAGTTTGCCAGACACTCTGACAGCCTGTTTCATCAGTGGTTATTGGCTTGTTGTCTTAAGGTTTTTGAACTTATTGCCCAAACTATTTCGTGGTAATAAAATATTAAATCCAAATGCCTTATTTTTTTATGCCTGGTATGGAGATGAATTACTACTCCATACTTCTGCATCTTACTTCATGAACAGAAAAAGGAATTTATTCTGCCTTTACCTGTAGTTAAATTTTGACAGTTTTTTTCCTCTAAAGGTGTGAATATGAAAGTCCGAATGAATAGATCCATAGATTGGTGTTTTGCTTTTGGATAGGAATAGGGTATTTTTTAAATTTTTTTGCACAACAAACATTTGAGTACATATTATATTTAGGTATTAAGCCTGGACATGGTGGCAAAAAGATCCAAGACCCTGGTGTCTGTGCACAAGTATCTTATGCTGTAATATGATGACAAGTATATCTGTCAATTACAACATAGTATGATAGAGAAGTAGAATGAATCTTGAAATAAGGCCGGTGCAAAACTGTTTGTTGTTCTTCCTCTATACCTCTATAGCCTATGTGATTTTTTTTTTTTTTTTTTTTTTTTTTTGGCAGGCAGAGTTAGAAAGAGAGAGATGGAGAGAAAGGTCTTCCTTTTCCATTGGTTCACTCTCCAAATAGCCGCTACGGCCAACGCGCTGTGGCCAGCATGCTGCGCGGATCCAAAGCCAGGAACCAGGTGCTTCCTCCTGGTCTCCCTTGCGGGTGCAGGGCCCAAGCCCGTGGGCCTTCCTCCACTGCCTTTACGGGCCACAGCAGAGAGCTGGACTGGAAGAGGAACAACCAGGACAGAACCTGGTGCCCCAACCGGGACTAGAACCCGAGGTGCCGGGGCCGCAGGCAGAGGATTAGCCAAGTGAGCCGCGGCATCAGCTAACGTATGTGATGTTTTCACTCTCTGTGATCCCATTTTTCTCTGAGGCTCTGAGGAGTCAAAGGAATTAGGCAGGGGGAATTAGTAGAAGCAACAGATTTTGAGGTAGTTCTCTTATCTGGAGAGCTAATCTTCCTAGCCAAGATGATGGTGCCTTTCTTTTGTGTCTGATGTGAGGGCTGATGTCCTATAGGTTTGTGCTTAGGTGTGCAGAGGCATAAACTGACAAGTGCCTAGGAACGCGAGCAAGAAGTCTTCCTAATATAGTCAGATGTTTTCAGAATCTGGAAGCAACATGTACCTGTGGCCCATCAGCTGAGAATTTAAATTGGAATGTGTTCGAGTGCATTTCAAAATATCCTTGCATCAAGAGCAAAAACTAAAAACTGGTTTTATGACTAATAACATAGTTTTCAGTCAGTTTTTGTTAGCCCAGTATATATTAAACAAACAAAAAACACTGCTACATACTTTAGAGCAATAGTCATAAGCTCCACATGAGACTTTTCTTTTTTCAATCTGGTTCCCTACGGTAGAGTAACTTTCTGAGGAGGAGTCAGCAATTAATTCTACATAGATTCTGTGGTTGTCTAACCCCCCAGGGAGAAGGGGGGGGGCTTCCCCATAGTTCACCCATGGGCAGAGATTAATCATTTCTCCATGCCAGAGAGTTGTGAAAAAATGGCTAAGTATCTACTGGCCCATCCTTTCTCTATTAATGTAAAATTTTATACTAATTTGATCCATTTCTGCAATTCAAACTTCTAAAATACCTTACTAGGTTTCTGCTAATTCTTATCCCTATAAAATTGGTTTTGCTTTTGTGGCTTTAAAATAAGATTTACTCTCTGGTAGAATAACCTACCTCTTTAATTATCAGTTTTCTTGATTATCATACATTTACTCATTCATATGAACTCTAGATTTACTTAATGTAAAAAGGTATATTCTATACTATTTATAATATTGTGTTTACTCAAGAAATGTGGCATAAACTCTTTGATTCACTTCTTAAAAAGAACCTTGAAAATTGAAAAATACACCTTTTGTATTCTTTAACTGTCAGTTTATTTTAAAACAGGAATACTTGCTATCTTCCTTATGCCTGTAAGTTAGTACTTTTGAGTCTAAAGACTTCATATTTCACTTTCTGAAGACATGGACAAAGTGCTACACTGTGAAAGATTTTAATCTCCTCAGCTACTTGGAGGAAGAATAATACGTCTGAAATAGGGTGGAGGGAGAGAGCTTTTATAAGTAGAACTGGAAATGCCTCAGAGGGTCTTGTTCTTTCAAAGGAGACACCAACTCCTTTTATCAAATACAAAGCCAAAGATCTGTTTACTTGCTTGGAATACAATGATGACTTCCTTACAGTTTTCCCTCTAGATCTGGTTCTCTTTCAGTCTTTTGTCTACATTTTTCCAAAGTAATCTTTTGAAAATGCAAATATGGTCTTGTCACTGTGCTATCCAACATATTTGCATGGCTTCAGTCTTGGAACAACAAGGATTGGTTTAGGCTTTGTGGGATCCAAAATTCATAAAATTTAGGGTGTGTGTGTATCTTCTTTAATAAAAAGAATTATAAAATTTTGCATTTAATATCAGCAACAGGGCTTTCGAAGGGATCATGTAATGCTGAGTGAAATAAGCCAGTCCCAAAGGGACAAATATCATATGTTCTTCCTGATCTGTGACAACTGAGCACCTAAAAGGAAAATTTTAAAAGTGAAACAGATACTATGAGAAACAATGACTTGAGCAGCCCTTGTCATAACTGTTGAGGAACAGCTTACTATTTTATTTCTTTTAGCATTTTCTTGTTCTATTTAATACCATTGGTTGAACACTTTAATTAACACACAATTATTTTTATGTGTTTAAATTTAACTGAAAAGTGATCCCTGTTAAAATAAGAGTGGGAATAAGAAAGGGAGGAGATGTACAGTTTGGCACACGCTCACTCAGACTTACCCCAATGGTAGAGCTAGAAACATGCCATGGGATTCCAAATCCCAGTAGGGTGGCATGTACCAATGCCATCTCACTAGTCAAATGATCAGTTTAAGTTCATAATTGATCAAAAAGATAGGATTAAGTGTCAATGGGATCACATAAACAAGACCAGTGTCTGCTAATAATAACTGGTGGAATTAAAAAGGAGAGAACGATCCAACATGGGAAGCAGGATACACAGCAGACACATAGAGTGGCAGATGCCCTAAACAGTACTCTGGCCTCAGAATCAGACCTTAAGGCATTGGGATCTAGCTTAAAAGCCCATGAGAGTTTTGCAGGCATGGAAAGCCAAGATACTGTGGCAAAAAACAAAAACAAAAACAAAACCTAAATGAAAGATGCCTGTGAGTGAGATCCCAGTGGAAAGAACAGGCCATCAAAGAAGGAGGCACCTTACTCTGAAGGGAGGAGAGAATTCCACTTTGATTATGGCCATGCCATAGCCATGGCAGCTTATGACAAGAGCATTGGGTGATTATTGTTGTTATAAATAAGAGTGTCAGTTGTTAAATCAACAGCAGGAGTAACTGTGCACTTGCTCCCCATGTAGGATCTCTGTCCTTAATGCATTGTACTATGTGAATTAATGGTAAAACTAGTATTCAAACAGTACTTTAATACTTTGTGTTTCTGTGTGGGTACAAATTGTCAAAATCTTTACTTAGTATATACTAAGTTGATCTTCTGTATATAAAGATAATTAAAAATGAATCTTAATGAAGAATGGGATGCGAGAGGGAGTAGGAGATGGGATGGTTTGTGGGTGAGAGGGAGGTTATGGGGGAAAAGCCGCTATAACCCAAAAGTTGTAATTTCAAATTTATATTTATTAAATAAAAGAAAAAAAGAGGGGATCATGTAAATGAAGTACCCAGAAGCATAAATTTCAATAATGTTTTTGTGATATATCTGTCTCCGTTAAGGGATTTTTTTTTTTTTTTTTTTGGACAGGCAGAGTGGACAGTGAGAGAGAGAGAGACAGAGAGAAATGTCCTCCTTTTTCCATTGGTTCACCCACAATGGCGGCTGCAGCCAGCGTGCTGCAGCTGGCGCACTGCGCTGATCCAAAGCCAGGAGCCAGGTACTTCTCCTGGTCTCCCATGCGGGTACAGGGCCCAAGCACTTGGGCCATCCTCCACTGCACTCCCGAGCCACAGCAGAGAGCTGGACTGGAAGAGGAGCAACTGGGACAGAATCTGGCGCCCCGACCTGGACTAGAACCTGGGGTGCCGGCACTGCAGGCGGAGGATTAGCCTATTGAGCCGTGATACCGGCAAGGGAATTGTTTTTATGGTACTCGGAAAATTAAAGTCAAAATGGCTGTAGAATAATCATAAAGAAAGGAAAGAAAGTTGTTGATTTTATTTATTCTAAGCCTTAGAGAGTCTTGAGTCATTTTACTAACTAATTTTACTAGGTAATTTTACTAACAGAGGTAAAATGTTAACACACATTATATCAGGAACTGAATACGCCAGAGGAACAATTTTTTAGAAGTTAGCAATACCTTGCAAGATTTGTGAAAAACCAGAGGAACCAGTTTGTTTCCCAACTGGACTTTTCAATGGACTTACAAAGTATGTAACCACTCTGATGTAACCTGCTTATTACTGCAAGAGAATGCAAAGCTACATGTATGCACTTCTGCTTGATGTAAAACTCCAAGCTCACATTCCCTCAGAGAAGCATGGTCTCATTCTCTGGCTGAATCCTACATTTTTCTGATTTCCAAATCTGCTCTGCATTTGAATAAAACTGTCTTTGCTTTTGAACTCATTTATGTCTTTTTTGGTTAAATTTCAACTGAGTTGAGAATACCAGATCAATAAATAATAACTAGGACAGGTTAACTGCCCAATAAGTCAGAGTTGTTTGTAGCCCAGAGATCTCTGACTAGACCTCAAGTTTTAACATGAATGCATATAACCAGGATGGTTCTTCCTAACAAGAGACCTATGTGCTGAGACTTTCTTGCAGTCACTGTGATAAGCTCATAGTCTTCAGATTAGATTGATTTAAAAAAGATTCAAGTTATATTCTTAAGTTATGTAAATAAAATTTTTTTTAATTTTTTTAATTTTTTTTACAATGGCTTCCCCCCCATAATGTCCCTCCCACCTGCAACCCTCCCCTTTCCCACTCCCTCTCCCCTTCCATTCACATCAAGATTCATTTTCGATTCTCTTTATATACAGAAGATCAGTTTAGCATACATTAAGTAAAGATTTCAACAGTTTGCTCCCACACAGAAACATAAAGTGAAAAACTGTTTGAGTACTAGTTATAACATTAAATCTCAATGTAGAGCACACTAAGGACAAAGATCCTACATGAGGAGTAAGTGCACAGTGACTCCTGTTGTTGACTTAACAAATTGACACTCTTGTTTATGGCCTCAGTAATCCCCCTAGGCTCTTGTCATGAGCTGCCAAGGCTATGGAAGCCCCGAGTTCACCGACTCTGATCACATTTAGACAAGGCCATGGGCAAAGTGGAAGTTCTCTCCTCCCTTCAGAGAAAGGTACCTCCTTCTTTGATGATCCGTTCTTTCCACTGGGATCTCACCCACGGAGGTCTTTCATTTTTTTTTTTTTTTTTTTTTTTC